TTTTTTTTTAACCAAAATACTTATATTCCTGATTTGTTAAAAATCTATTTTAAAAGTAAAACTACCAAAAACATCTCATAAAAGAACTGTTTTCTTAAGTATGAGTACAACACTAACAGTAGCCTTCAACTAATTAACAGTATTTGTTTTCTTAAGGTTTACTTACTCTTCTGAATTTCCAGAAAATTATACCATAGCTTCTTTCCATAATCTCAACATTTTTTCATGTTTCTCTTACTCATTCCAAAGAAAAGTTCTTTTCAAATTTATGTACATAATAAAAACCAAATTGATTTTAGTTTGAGGTGTATTTTGAGGTTTATTGACTACAGGCTAACTTATAGATCAATAAATTTAAATTATCCTAGAATAACTCAATAGCTACTTGCTATTTACCAGAACATTCTTACCTTTATTAAACTTTTAAAATAAAAATATATCCGTTACCTATTTCTAGGGAGAACAAAAAGTTATGTGTATATAACAACCTGCAGTGTTGGTGATACAGTCATTAGTTTTAGGCTTTTCACGGTGTGTAAATGCTGTATTACATGGACTGTTTTAGAAGGAAAGAGCTAGTTCTCATTTTTAAACACCTCTAGTCTGTATATTGTCATTAACAGTGAGGAACTAAAGGTGATTTTGTAAGTGATTTTCTAAGTGACTCAACCTAAAAGTCACTGTAGTAATGTAAACCCTCCAACATGATACAAAAACTATAGAAGTTTTGCAGAAGCCATCAACATGCAAAATATTTATGTTTTTGTTGGTCATATATATGTGACACAGGTCAAAAACAAGATGATACAGAAGGCTTCTAGGCTCATGTGACTACTTCATTTTAGAGTTCAAGATTTCAAATTAAGCAGGTAGATCAAGATGTAAAAAAAGATGTCTATGATTGTCCAAAGTACCCTTAGATATGTTTACCTAAGAATAATTCTCATGGAATCAAACTTAGAAATGAAAAATATTGAAATATCTCATCAAAAATTCTACTTCAATTGTCTAAGTAAAATATAAACCACAGCATTATCAGTATTCTCAGCACTATCTGATTTTAACTGCTTTTATTTATAATGAATGAACAGATGAATGAATGGTTTAATGAATAAATTGACTGTTTCATTAATTAATAAGATATTTTGCTTTGGGTTCTCAATATAACTGTTATTTTTAAGTAAAATTTGTAATTTTAATCTATTCTGCTTTTATCTACAGTTGGAGTGCCAAACTGTATCTTACACCAAGTAACATTGTTCTGCTTACTGCTATAGCTCTCATCGGTGTGTGTGTTTTCATCTTGGCAATAATTGGCATTTTACATTGGCAGGAAAAGGTTTGTTCATTTAAATGAAACATTAGCTTTGGTTAATTTATTCTATTAATACACATATTGCTCTTAAAAATACTATATTTTAAAACTTTTTTCATATGATTAGAATTTCCTCATTTTTCAAGTTCTTTTCAGAACATCATTTTATTGATGATAATTTCTTTTATCCTTGGAAGTTACTGATATCTCCTATCAATTCATAAAAGCTTGATGCTCTACAATAGTAATAAAGTGATCACCTGGAAATCAAAAGGCATTTAGAAACAATTTCATAATGACCTGAAAAATAATAATAATTTTTAAAATGAATTTGTGTTCTGTATCTACTGATAAAGCCATGGACATTCTTTGCTAGGATTAACAGCTATCTCTTATAAAGAAATTAGAGTACAAACAGATTAAATTATTTTCTCGAAGTTTAGGCAGAAGGTAACAACTAAAGCGATAAACAGCCAGGAGCGGTGGCTCATGCCTGTAATCCCAGTACTTTGGGAGGCCGAGGTGGGCAGATTGCTAGAACTCAGGAGTTCAAGACCAGCCTGGGCAACATGAACCTTGTCTCTACAAAATATACAAAAATTAGCCAGGTGCCATGACACAAGCTGTAATCCCAGCTCCTCAGGAGGCTGAGGTGGGAGAATCACCTGAGCCCAGAAAGTTGAGGCTGCAGTGAGCTGTGATTGCACCACTTCACTCTAGCCTGGGCANAAAAAAAAAAAAAAAAAGCCACAGACATATTTTTCATCTATTAAGTATTCTTTGCATTAAACTGATTTCTGTTCTTTAATATAATACTCTAAATAATAATTGAAAACAAAACTCCCAAATATGTAAAAGATTTTTATGCAATGTTTATGTGAAGAAAAAAAGAAGCTATCACTATAAATTTATTAGCAGTTTAGATATAATTGAAAAGCTAATTTCTATTTGTATATGGGTTCAAATTAATGCCCTCTAAAAAGCGCTTCTTTGTGGCACAAAAGAAAGGTGTTTTTCTTTTTTTGCACCTACACTCTGAATCATCATGACATCATAATCATTTTTTGCTAGCTAAACTTACTGTCTTTGTTCTTTTAACGTATGAAAAATAGAGCATATTCGTTGTGCTATAAATGTTCATACATTTGTCGCTTTTAAAAAAATCATTGCTTTATATATCAAAAACAATAACATGAAATCACATATTCAGTTAACTTGAAGATTGCAACTTAAGAGTAAGATCAAAGACAACCATATATACTTTGTCCAGAAGTATCAGAATATCATCTGAAAGATTCCATAGTTCTTGACCTACGAAGCAAAGGAAATTAATTTCATTAATTCCTCAGTAGATCTGATTACAGCATAAACATTGTGGGCTTATAACAATAATTATGCAGTGGCCCAAAATTAAAGTTTTAAGCACAAGTATGTATTTGACCACATATATACTGTGTCTCCTGTGGCAGTGTGGTATCTCAAAGAGGTAGAACCTCTGTAACCGATTTTTTACCCAAGCCGGCTGGTTCCTTCTACCATTTTCTCAATGCAAGCTTTCCACAGTGTCTGCCCCTGGCCCTCTTCTTTCAACACTTTCCCTGCCAATCTTATTTAAAATCATGGCTTTGGATATCCCCAGCTCTTATCCCTAAAGGTTCTTTCCCATTTCTGACTGTCACCATGATAGCTCAACCTAGATGACTTACAAATACCTCAAAACCAGCATTCTAAAGCTTCATCTCTTTTACTTACCTATAAGATTTTATCACTTGCCTATGGACTCTGCCTCCATAAGAATTTTTTCAGTTGACTCCACTTCTACATTCCTACCACACTGCTTCAGCCCAGCCCCTTCTTACGTCCTGCTTGGCCTCTCTCCTTCTGTTCTCTCCCCTTTCCATTCCATTTAGCACACTGCTGCCAGACAACTCATCATTCAGTTTAGCCTTCATCATGTCACTCCCCTGCTCAAAAAGCTCTGGTGACTTTTATGTATAAAATCCTTGGCCTGGCCAGCATATACTTACATGTGACTCCACGGTCTTATTTTTTTACCAGTTCCTTTCACATATCCGTGCTCCTTCCAGCCCTCTCATGATTGCTGATGTTGTACCGCCAGCTTGGAGTGAATGCTGCTCCCACCATTTCTATGCTTTCAAATGCTTTCCATGTCTTTTCAAAGCTTTCCCTTTCCTCACCCGAATCTAGAAGTAGTCTCTTAGACTTGGTAACATTTTTCACTTTTTATCTTGAACTACAGTTACACAGTATGTTTTGCATTTGTCTTTTTGGAGGACAAGATACAAAACTGAGGTTCTTTTAATCTTAAAATACCAAACACAGTATTGGTATTGGGAGTATTAGGAGCAAAGGGCCAATGAATAACTGCTAAATTAACAAGTTAGCTAAAAAATAATTAGTATATTAGTACTTTAATATAATTAGTTTAGATTTGTTCTTTTGTTTTGTTTGAGATGGAGTCTTATTCTGTCACCCAGGCTAAAGTGCAGTGGTGCAGTCTTGGCTCACTGCAAATTCCACCTCCCATGTTCAAGCGATTCTCCTGCCTCAGCCTCCCAAGTAGCTGAGATTACAGATGCCCATCACCCCTAGCTAATTTTTGAATTTTTTTGGTAGAGTTGGGGTTTTACCATGTTTGCCAGGCTGGTCTCGAACTCCTCACCTCAAGTAATCAACACTCCCTGACCTCCCAAAGTGCTGGGATTACAGGCATGAGCCACCACCACACCCACCCACTAGATTTGTTTATTAACATCAGTGTTAAGAATGAGAGAAAAATGCAATCATTGATTTATCCTTATAGAATCTAGTGCTTATTCATATTTTCAAATAGATAATAAATGATAAGAAGCTAAGTATTTAAGGACCCTAAGCATTTAAAGTGCCCTAAATATTTAAGTATTTCTTGTTGGTTTTTTATTCAATTAGATCATTAATTATAAAATAGCTACTATAAACTACAATAATACTTCCTAGGATTATTGCATTAGGAAATCATATCTATTATCTACTAATTGCTGGAGACCTCTAAAAATGAATAACTGTGTATTTCAGAAATTAGTCTTTTCATAACATTCTCCTACCATTTATAAACGAGTCTAAAATTCTTTTTCAGAAAGCAGATGATAGAGAAAAACGACAAGAAGCCCACCGGTTTCATTTTGATGCTATGTGACTTGCCTTTAATATTACATAATGGAATGGCTGTTCACTTGATTAGTTGAAACACAAATTCTGGCTTAAAAAAGAAAATAGGGGAGATTAAATATTATTTATGAATGATGTAGCCCTTGGTAATTATTGGAAAGTATTCAAATAAATATGGTTTGAATATGTCACAAGGTCTTTTTTTTTAAGCACTTTGTATATAAATTTGGATTCTTTATTCCTTAGTGCTGTACATTTTTGTTCCTTTGTGGAATGTGTTGCATGTATTCCAGTGTTTGTGATTTATAATCTTATTAGAGTCATGATGATGGAAAAAGACATGTAAATAAAAATATTTAAATGAGCAGGAATTTTTGTGTCCACTTGGCTTGGTCTTGCTTCTTATTCTAATGATGCAAATTACACTTTTGTGAATATATCACAGTTATTATGCATTTAGCTTCATCGCAGCAGGTCAGGGGTCTCTCACTGATGGCATTCAATATAGTGATCGGGTACTCTGACTTTGTATCACAGTAAGACAGACTTGCCTTAAACTCCTAATTCCCCCACTTACAAAGTCATTGTTTGGATTTGGCTTTTGTTTAACTTCTCTAAGCCTCAGTTTTCTTGTTTATTCAGTAGGGCTAATAATACTTGAGTTATTGTAAACATTAAATGGGATGATATATAGCTTGGTGCCTAGCACAGAGTAAGTGCTCAATACATGGTAGTTGTCATTATTACTATTTTAGATGATGTTATTAGACTTATACATCTAATTATAGAAATATACAAACTTGATAGAATTTTATTTTCAGGCATGAGGAAATAATAGTCTTTGGAAAAGCCAAATTCTTGATGATTGACATCTATAAAGATTTACTTGCTCATATTAACTAAAAATTATAGTACTCTCCAAGAATTAATGTGCCCTAAAAATTTTCCTCTGAAAACTGATCCTTATCATGTGATAATGAAGAACATTTGATTTCTTGAAAGGAAACTGCTGTAGGCAGCATCTGGGAATGCAAATCTTCAATCACATTTCTATTCTCAAAGGCTTGGAGAAGTCTATAATTTCCTATCAGACTTCAATGCAAATTTTATATTGTGAACTTCACATTGCCAAAAAATTACTTTAAAAAGAGTTAAAGACTGAGAAAAAAAGTTTACCAATGCTAATAATTTTATAATACGCAAATGGACATGTAATGACTATAAAACAACATTTCTCTGAAAACAGTTTTGTTCTTCATGTGATTTTTTTCTTTACATTTCACTGAGAGTGGCTTTGTATCTAAGCATGTTAACATGTCTTCTTAATAAATATTCCTTATTGAAACAAAGTATTTTGGTGAGTTTTTAAATAATTATTTTGGAGCATGAAGAGACCTTACAGCTTATGAAAGCATTCATCTGCACTGGGAGACTAGGATAAGGTAACTTGCCCACTGCCTCTGTATGGGTCACGGGCAAGAAGGGACTCTCCTGACTGCAATATTCAGTTAAATTCACTAGTTATCAACCCACAGCACTGGGCCAGGTACCACACTTTCCCAAAGACAAGTGTGCTCCTTATCTATGGATAGCCTGAGTCTTAAAACTCATGTGGAGTCAGTGTTTACAAGACAAATAAAATGTTAATGACAATTAACTACAGTCAGTGACATTAATACTGCTTCTGTATTTCCAAATGCAACTTTAATATTAAGGGATAGTAGGTAAAAACTATGTCACACATTTGGAATCACTAACAAAGACCTTTGTTTTCATTTTGAATATTGAAGTGGAAAGAGAACAAGGCTTTGAGGTCAGACCAATCTGGAATCAGAGCCCAACTCCCTGATTTCATGACTTTGAATCAGCCACTTCTTTGAACTTTGGTTTCTTCATCTGTTAAACAAAGATACTGAGTGATACCTACCTTCAAGGACTGCTATGAGTCTGAAATGGCAGTTTGTACATAGAAGGTACTTGATAAGTGCTGGCTCTTTTCTTCCTTCCCATCCCATTACAGTGACTAACATTTTCTGACATTTTTTTCCCACTGACTACACATTTGTGTCATCCATCTTTGGGGAGCTAGGAGGAGTAATTAAGAATTATTAATCATTTTGAAGATGTTGTAAATATGTTGTTAATACACCATTTATTTGAACTAACCCTTTACATTGCCCCATCCTTGCAAGTAGCTAGAATACCTCATAAAAAGAAACAAAAACTTAAAATGTGTCCAGCAGACCTCAGTGATATACCTAGGACTGATCTAGGATACTTAAGGGCTTACTCCTCGGGATAAAGGTGAATTAAAGGAAACCGGCCCTTGTGATTACCTGCACCTGACCAGTTATTTTAAAAGGCTAATAAAATAAATAGATTAGGGAGTGCCTTTGATCCACAACTGTATAAGGGAAAGGAAGGAAACAATATTAGGCAGAGAAACTGAATTGTGATGTGTTCTCAATGGAATGCCACATACATCAAGTTCTGAGATAGGATGACCTTTCTTATCTCCTAACCTGTCCCAAGTTAGAATATGAAGCCTGAGTACCCTTTTCATTTTTGATACTGGTTATTTGTACCTGTTTTCCTTTTCTTGTTAGAGGCCTTTGGGGCAGCCAACTGATGAATGTGGGAATGTAAAGGCCCAGCCTTCGTATTCTAACTTGGGACAGGTTAGGAGATAGGAAAGGTAATCCTATCTCAGAACTCGATGTAGGGTTGTATGTGGCATTCCACTGAGAACACATCACAGTTCAGTTTCTCTGCCTAATCTCAAAAAAAAAAAAAAATGAAAAGGGTATTAACTACAGATAATCTATTTATTAAAGTAGGAAGACTGAGAATAATTTTATACTATCTGAAAGTTTATACAAAATGGACCAATTCCTAAGAAAATATCACCAGAATATAACCAGAAACAAAACTAAATACTCCTGCTAACGCTGTGGTATGTCCAGATCCAGCATCAAGAATAAACGACTTCTTATCCTAACTTCTGGGAATGCCATCACTGTTCATCTGCCAGCCTCATCTAGAGAACAGACTCACCCAAGATCGGGCAACAAGAGCAAAACTCCAAAAAAAAAAAAAAAAAAAAAACCTAAATGTTCATAAACTAAAAAGAAAAAACTGACCGACCTGTAAGTAGAAATAGACAAAATCGCTATTTAAGTGGGAGACATCAACACTCTTCTCCAGTAACTGAAGGAAAAAGTAAAGTAGGCAGGAAATCAGAAAGCTTAGAGCTAACCTGAAAAGCACTCAGTCCATCTAACCTAGTGGATATTTATATAACTCTCTAACCAAAAGCAGCAAAATAGTCTTTTCCAGTGCACATGGAACACTTACCAAGATAGACCATATTCTGGGCCATAAAACAAGTCTCACCAAATCTAAAAGAATCGAAATCATACAAAGTAGATTATCAGACTATAATAGATTTGAACTAGAGAGATACATGGAAAACAGCCATATATTTTGAAATTAACTTTTTTAAATGACTATAGGGTCAAAAGAAGTCTCAAAGGAAATTTTAAAATATTTTTGAGCCAAACGAAAAATACAACATACCAAAATTTTTAGGAGGCAGTGCCGAGAGGGGAGATTTATAATATTAAATGCATGTATTAACAAACAAGAAGAGTGATGAAAGAAATCAAGGAAGACTTGATACTCCCCAAAGGATCTGTAGATTTCACACCATCCCTATCAAAATCCCAGCAGTTACCTTGGGGTGAATATGGACAAGATTTTGTGCAACTTATATGAAAGAGAAAAGAAAGTAGGATAGTTTAAAACAATTTTGAAAAAGAAGACAAAGTTGAAGAAATCAAACTGTGTGACTTAAAAACTATTATAAAGCTAAAGTAATAAAGATAGTGTGGTATTGGCAAAGAGAGACACATAGACCAATGGAATAAAATAGAGTCCAGGAATAAACCCACACAAATACAGACATCTGATGTTTGACAAAGATGTAAAAGTTACTGAGTGGAAGACAGTCTTTTCAATAGTGTCAGTATTTGCCATAAATACTAAGGGTAAAGGGAAAAAAAAGAACCTTAATCTAAACCTTACACCTTATATAAAAATTAACTCAAAATGGTCATAAATTTAAAATGTAAAATGATAAAACTTTAAAAGAACATACAGAATATCCTCATGAGCTAGGGTTAAGCAGAGTTCTTAGAAATGACACCAAAGTTATGATCCTTTCAAAAAACTAATAAATGTGACTTCATCTAAATTAAAAATGTTTGCCTTAACAAAGACACTTCCAAGAGAATGGACAAGGTATATATGCAAAGAAAAAAAAATTTTTTTTTGAGATGGAGTCTCATTCTGTCACCCATGCTGGAGTGCAGCAGTGTGATCTCAGCTCACTGCAGCCTCTGCCTCCCATGTTCAAACAATTCTGCCTCAGCCTCCCAAGTAGCTGGGACTACAGGCATGCACCACCATGCCCAGCTAATTTTTATATTTTTAGTAGAGATGGGGTTTCACCATGTTGGTCAGACTGGTCTCAAACTGCTGACCTTAAATGATCCATCTGCCTTGGCCTCCCAAAGTGCTGGGATTAATAGGCATGAGCCACCATGCCCAACCAAGAAAATATTTTCAAATCACATATCCAACAACAGACTTGGATCCTTAGCTCTCAAAACTCAACAATATAACCACTCAGACAAGATAACACCTAAGGAAGCTCCTGCCTCTCCCAAAGCTGAAACCAAAGCAAAAACTTTGAAGGCCAAGAAGGCAGTGCTGGAAAGCATCCACAGTCACATACAAAAAGGAATATCTGCACTTTACCCACCTTCCAGTAGCTCGAGACATTACAGCTCTAGAGACAGCCCAGATATCCTCAGAAGAGTGCCCCCAAGAGAAACAAACTTGACCACTCTGCCTGATTCCCCCTGACCATTGAGTCTGCCATGAAGAAAACAAGATAACAACACACTTTAGGTCATTGTGGATGCCAAAGCCAACATGCACCAGAGCAAACAGGATGTGGAGAAGCTCTGAGACACTGATGTGGCCTGATCAATCAGGCCCAATGGAGAGAAGGTGTATGTTTAACTGGCTCCTGTTTACGATGCTTTGGATGTTACCAACAAGATTGGAGTCATCTAAACTGAGTCCAGCTGGCTAAGTCTAAATAAACATCTTTTTACCATTAAAAATAAAAAACAATTTGAGTGGGCAATAACTTGAAAATACTTCACTAGAGAGGATATATCAGTAGCAAACAAGCACATGGAAAAATGTTCAACAGGATAAGCCATTAGGGAAATGAATACTAAAACTATGAAGAAATACCACTACACATCTATCATAAAGAATGCTTTCATGGATAAAACAAAGAATACTGACAATTCGAAGTGCTGATAAAGATGAAGAACAACTAGAATTTTCATACATTGCTGGTGGGGATGCAAAATGGTAAAGCCACTCTAGGGAACTGTTTGGCACTTTCTAAAATCAACTGCATTTTTATATACCAGTATGATCAGTTAGAAAATGGGATTTAAAACAGGTAACATAACAGCATGAAAAAAGTCAAGTACCTAGTAATCAATACAACACAAGATGTACCACACATCTCTGTCTGGTAAATTATAAAACTTTTCTGAGAAACACTAAGAAAATTTTTCAATAAATGCACATATGTACCATGTTAATGGACAGGTAGACTCAAAATTGCAAAGATGTCAAACCCCTCCCAACTCCACTCATCCCAATAAGTTATTGTGTTGTTGAGCTTGCTATGCAGTTTCTAAAATGTATACAGAAATATAAAAGACCAAGAACAGCCAAGACAATCTTGAAAAAGAACAGGACTTGCTCTACCAGATAACAAAACAATAAAAAGTTAGGGTGATTAGGCCAGGCATGGTGGCTCACGTCTGTAATCCCAGAACTTTAGGAGGCTGAGACAGGTGGATCACCTGAGGTCAGAAGTTGGAGACCAACCTGGCCAACATGTTGAAGCCCTGACTCTACCAATAATACAAAACTTAGCTGGCCATCATGGCACATGCCTATAATCCCAACTACTCAGGAGGCTGAGGCAGGAGAATTGCTTGAACCCAGGAGACAGAGGTTGCAGTGAGCCAAGATCATGCTATTGCACTCCAGCCTGGATGACAAGAGCAAAGCTCTGTCTCAAAAAAAATAAAAATAAAAAGTTAAGGTGATTAACAGAGTGCGGTATTAGTGAAGAAATAGACAGACCAATGGAACATATTAAAGAGTGCAGAGAAAGACTCATATGCATGGACGTTTGATTCAAGAAGGCAGCAACACTGCACTGCAAAGCAATGGAATATGAACAGCCTT